CTCTTCAGCCCTTCCTTATTTCTACCCACTGTGCTCCCGGCCTGGCTTCTAAAAGCTGGTTAGCTTCCTTAATGCAGCTTTCATTTTCCTTGTCAAATTCTTCCCTCCATACATGCTCTTGCCAATCTAGAATGTTCTTCTTTTATTGTTTTGCCTGTTTTCTGCTCTCCTCAGAGGGGTCTGCATAGATATTGGAGGCTTTCCTTAGTCTCCTCAGAGCTCCCATAGTTTCCTGCATTTCTTCCTTCAAAGAGCAAAAAGACCAATTAAGCAAAACCCATCTTATTTTTCTTATTGGCCTGTCCAATCAGGGAACTCCATCAAGTTCAAGCTGATCTCCCTGCTGTTCTATCTCAGCATGTGGCCCTGGTCTCAATGTTTCAGTAATAAGCACAATAAAGCAGGCATCACTATCCCTCCCTCCTGCCTTTTAAAAGTTTATTTAATTTTATGTGTATGAATATTTGTCTGCATGAACATATACACACCACATGCATTCCTGGTGCCTGACAAGGCTGGATGAGGGGTTGGATCTCCTGGAACTTGAGTTAGAGATGGCTGTGAGCTACCATATGGATGATCAGGATTGAACTTGGCTTTCCAAGAGCTCTTACCCCTCACCCCTTACTATTCCATTTCACAGAAATGGAGAGCAGTGGGTCTCACCCAGAATCAAGGTCAGTTTACAGCATAGCCAAGCACCCCACCCCACCACCTTGTGCATCTTGTATACATGTCACCAGGCAGACTTGCTTCAACCTGCTCCCCACACACTGCTTTGGTGTAGGCTCCGAGAGCTGCATTCTCTTACCAGAGTGGACATGTCAGGCTTCTGAATCTGTGACAAAAAACTCTTGGTTAAGCTTTCTAAGTTCAGTTGCCTGTGAACCTCCAGGAGAGGCAGTATACTATTAATGTGTTTCAATAAGGCACAGTCAGAGACCCAAGCTCTGGTCACATCATTAAGGTTCCTCCATGACTCAGATATTGATCTTAGTTAAGAAGTGATGTCTATGCAGAACTGGAGGTGGCAGAAGGATGTGGCAATACAGGCCTCTGTGAGGAGGGACGATGATGGTAACCTTGTTTGTTCAAATTGCCAGCACTTTCCTGTCACACTAGAGTCGTGACTAAGTTTTCTTTTTCTTTTTCAATTGGTAAAATATATCAGCAAATCCTTAGCTCAGGTAAAAAACTCAAACCTAGGAGCCAGACAACTGGCTTACCCTGTCTCTTTAGCAGCTGCTTTTAATGGGTGTTGAATCAATATCATTGAACCCAAGGCTTCCCAGAACAGACACGGCCAGATGCCCAGTTCTGAGGTAGGGGAGAGCTGGAAGGTAATAAGAGATGAACCACACAGCACTGAGCTGTGAGGCAGTAACCAAGCAACCAGCACACTCACTCTGAAAGGCAGGACAACGAGCAGGCAAGACATAGTGGCCATCAAGGCTGAGAAGGATAGAGATGGACACAGGGAGCTTCAAGGGCCAGGGAACACCAGGGGTGACAGGCTCAGACAGCTAAGACTGGGATTTGTAAATTCAGCATCACTAAATGAAACCAAAGATCCTTGATATAGGAGCCAGGCTCTACACTGCAGAGGAGCTTCCCAACACTTTCATTTAAAGTTGTTTGTTTTAAATTTTGTAATTACATTTATTGTGTATTTACACTCAGGCATACATTCATTCAGGACAAGCCACAGGAATTGGTTCTCTCCTTCCACCATGTGGGTCCTGGGGATTGAATTCAGGCCATCAGGCTCAGCAGCAGGCTTCTTTTCAACCTAAGCCATCTTGTGGGCCTCAGGTAAAACTATTTCCATAATTGATAAGTAGCACATGAGAATAATTAGCGAAAGAAGCTACCCCACCATTCTCCTATTGGGTGACAAATGAATAAAAGAAAGTTAGTAGCCAAGCTTTTCTGCCTTAGATCCAAAAGCCTGACCTGCCCCACCTTGGAAGGATGAATGAAAGTGGCTGCCAGGCCTGTGAAAGAGGCCTTCAAATTTTCAGCCATCAGGAAATGAAAATGAAAGCTTAAATGAAATTTCATTCCATGCTCCTAGGATGACTAAAATCAAAATGATGGCAGAGCAGCCGCAGACTGGAACACAGCACGGCACAGGCGTCTTGGGAAATGGGTGGTTTCTTATGAATTAAACATGCATACATCTCCACCATGATCCAGTAGTTCTATCCTCAGATATTCCTGCAAGAGAAATGAAAACACATGCCCACGAGATGGCTTGTGCATTAGTGTTTTTTCTTTTATTATTATTATTATTATTATTAATTTTACAATACTATTCAGTTCCACATAATAGCCACATATTCCCTTGCTCTCTCCCCCCCCCTCTTCCCTCCCCTTCCCTCCAGCACACTCCCCATTCCCACCTCCTCCAGATCAAGGCCACCCCCGAGGACTGGGATCAACCCGACAGACTCAGTCCAGGCAGGTCCAGTCCCCTCCTCCCAGACTGAGCCAAGCGTCCCTGTATAAGCCCCAGGCTTCAAACAGCCAACTCGTGCAACGAGCCCAGGACCTGGCACCACTGCCTTAGATGCCTCCCAAACAGATCAAGCCAATCAACTGTCTCACCTATTCAGAGGGCCCGATCCAGCTGGGGGCCCCTCAGCCTTTGGTTCATAGTTCATGTGTTTCCATTCATTTGGTTATCTGTCCCTGTGCTTTATCCAACCCTGGTTTCAACAATTCTCGCTCATATAAACCCTCCTCTTTCTCACTAATTAGACTCCCAGCGCTCCACCCGGGGCCTAGCGTGCATTAGTGTTTATAGGTGACTTTATCCACAATAGTAAACTCAAAGACAACCCAAGTGCCCATTAATAGAAAAAAAGATGAATTTTCCATATAATGAAGAACTTCCATCAAATTATACTGAAGCTATAGTATAGGCAAGCCCATGAATGACACAGATATTCTACAGAGGCAAAGAAGAGTCTATATTCACTTGTATGCTATCGGGAACAGTCAGAAGTTAGGGGATGGTGACAGGGATTAAATGTGGTCGATGATGGGGCAGGTGACTTGGAGGAACTGTGATGCTGAAAATTTTTCTATAGTATATTTTGGGTGATGTTTGAGGGTGAAAATTTGTCAAAATCCGTCAAGCTGGAAAATCTAGGATTTGCACATTCATTAGTACTGGTTATGCCTTCACTTGAAAAATAATAAGCTATAGAGCTGGGTGTGGTGGCTCATATTTGTGTGAGGCAAACGTGATAACCACTACACTATGGAAACAACACAGGTGGCTCATAATTGTAATCTCCACAGGAAGATAATGAGTTTGTGACCAGCCTGGGCAATAATAAGAGCCATTGGCAAATGAATCTAGACATACGTCTGCTCCCAAAGCAGACATTATGGCTTGATTTTCTCGTTCTGTGCCTTTGAGCTTCAACAGGACTTAAAAATATATCACAAGATAGCTCCTTATGATTATTAATGCTGCATGTCAGTGTGACAGGACCTAGAATCACCTAGCAGACAAACCCCTGGTCACATCTGTGAGGAATTTTATAGACTGGGTTACTTGAGGTAGAAAGACCCATTCTGAGTGTGAGTGGCATGATCCCATGGAATGGGATCCTGTGTTGAATAAAAAGTAGAAAGTGAGCTCAGCACTAACTCATCTCTTGCAGCCTGACTGTAGATGCAATGTGACCTCATGCTTCTGGTGTCATGTTAGGCATCAAGGGCAGTGTCTCTTTCAACCTGTTTTCTCATTTGGTGAGGCCTGGTAGAATTCAAGTGATCCAAATAAAACCCATTAGAGAAAAGTTATAAAATAATTAAAAATCCTGCCACAAAACCCACTTTGAATATGTTTCCTTCTTGTCAGGGGTAGAGTGCAGGTCTTGGTTTTCACTGTCTTGAGTATTTCTCTAAGTTAATTAACAGTTTTATATTTCTTCTTTTTTAAAGGTGGCATAGCCCTCCAAGGTGCTACATTGTTACTTGACCCTTAACTCATGGTTACCACCGTCCCTCCATACTTTTCATTTATTTACTTGTCTGAGGGAAAGTTTGGGGTTCTGTTCTGTAGCTGACTTCCACTGAGTGCCTGCTCTACATGGATGTCATGATTACCATTTCACAGATATTTTATTTACTCTTTACAAGCTTCCTACAGGACAGCTACTATTTGATGTTTTATAGGTAGAGAGACCGAGGTGTGGGGGCATCAGAGAGCCCATTCAAGGTCACACAGCAAGCGTCAGTGTCAGAGGGAACGAGATGGACACCCTTCCAGAGTGGTAAGCAAGGTGGCCTGTGTGTTTCCTATGACATTCTAGAGGGAACCTCAGAAGCCAGCCACAGTGGAAGCTGGCTCTGCAGGCTTCTCACTGCCAGCCAGAATAGCTCAGGCTGGCTAGGTCAAACCCCACCTGCCATTTCCAGCAGGCCTGCCTCAGCATGCACAGGAGCAGAACAACCGAGTCAGAGGCCAGTTTGTTTGTCACAGGAAACGTTCTGTGGCTGCACTTGGTGACTCTGGTGATGGGGGACAGGTGTTGTTGCACAGTCAGCCTGACAGTCTAGGCTTCCACCCACAGAGATGGATAGACAGGAATGTCCTGTCATCAGGGCCTTTGGCCTTGACTCCTCTGCCTCTGCCTTAGAGGTAATGTTTTGGGTGTCATGTATTATAGATAGAGATGAGTTTTATTTATGTAAGTTATATCTAAAAAAATTGATTTTTAAGCTGGGTGGTGGCAGCAGTGCACGCCTTTAATATCAGCGCTTGGGAGGCAGAGGCAGGTGTATCTCTGTGAGTTTGAGGCCAGCCTGGTCTACAGAGCGAGTTACAGGACAGACACCAAAGTTACACAGTGAAACCCTGTCTCGAAAAACAAAATTGATTTTGAAAACTAAACAAGACTACAGGTGGTATTCTAGTTACTACCCAATCTGCTGCCCCTTGCAGGGTACTCAATAAACAATAAACAAACAGATAGATTCACAACATCGCTTCTCAGCCTTTTGGCTAAGATCAAGTGTAGATTCACAACAGACAGTCCTGGGTTCTTGCCCCCTCAAGGCCTGGCTATTCTTTAAAAAAATTCTCTTTTATTATTTTTATGTGTATGGATGTTATGACTGCATGTATGTCTGTGTACAATGCCTGCAGTGGTTAGAAGAGAGCATTGGATCCCCTGGCACTGAAGTTAGAGATGATGATGAGATTCCATGTGGATCTGGGACTCAAACTCAGGTCTTCTGGGAGAACAGCCAGTACTCTTAAACACTGAGCCATCTCTCCAATACTAGGGCATCTGGAAGATGGAACAAGGTTTTCTTCTACAGCCAAGCATTTGTGAAACCTTTGACCCATTTAAAACTCCACTTTCTTTCTGCTAAAGCCCATTTAGTGGATTATGCCACTTGTCTCTGAAATGTTGGTAAACAAAGTGGAGTTTTACGACAACTGACCCTAGAGAGAAATGTCTAGGGATGGTCACAAGTCAACACTTGGGTTTGTGTAAATTATTTAATAAGTGAACTTGCACCTCCTCAAATGTTACCTTCTAGATCTCTTCCTGGCCATTGGAATCAGGTCACCTGATATCCATAGAGTGAATGGATTCAAGACCCTTTGGAAAAATCACCCAATTGTTATCTTTGGGGACCACCCTTCTCCAGCTCACATTTTCACTTAAGTTATGAGGCTCAGTGAAGGGAGTCCAAGCCCATCTACTGCAACAAGGGTGGATATGACCTACCCCATAAAAGTACCCTGCCCCACCCATACTTAAGCTGGGTCACTTTCCCCATCCATTCCAGAATTCTAAAGAAATTTGAGATTAAAAATCTGCTTTTCCTTTGGGATTGGTTGGGCTGGAGTTGTTTAAAACCCTGGATCACCTAGTGGTTAAAACTCCATATCTGCCCCTAGACTTCAGAGTTGTGGAAACCAATTTCTTTCCCTCTATTCTAAAAAACAAGAGTCTCTATCATGTATACACAACAACAACAACTGAAATCAGATGATGTATGTGTCTGAGGAGAAGTCTCAGTGAGGAAGGTGCTTACTGCACAGCTTGAGGACCTGAGTCCAGACACCCACGACCTACACAGAAACCAGGCACGAGGTGGATGTGTGTAACCACAGTGCTGGGAGCGCTGAGAATGTGGATCCCTGGAGTTTGATGGCCAGCCAGTCCAGTCAGGTTCAGCGAAGAGATTCTATCAAAAAAACAAGGTGGGCAGTGATTGAGGAAGACACCTAAAGTTGGCCTCTGGCTTCCACATGCACACACACACACACACACAGATGCACATGCCACACACATAAATAAATAAAAATAAATAAATAAATAAATAAATAAATAAATAAATAAATAAATAAATAAATAGGAAAGGAAGGAAGGGAGGAAGGAAGAAAGAGGAAAGAAAGCCTATATTTAGCACCATGACACTCATAAGGTCATTGACTTAGTTTTTAAACTGTTTTTCAGGCTAACTCTCTGGATCCCTATCCACTTATGTGCATACCACCTCCCCTTTCCCTACTCAGCACATAATTTAACAGGTCCTGGTTAATGAGCATGCCATTTGATTTTGTTATAAACAATTTGCATAATAATTATTGTGATGTGTAAGGAAAATATATGCTTGATAAAGATGAAACTGAACTGCCGGAAAGACCAAAAGCCCTCTGCTGTTGCCCTCTGCGGGGCTCAGTTTTATGCTACAGGGCAGCCCCTTCTAGAAGCTCCCAATGTCCCATCTTCTGGCTGTTTTCCGTAGAGTTAGTTGTTTATTTTGTAACACCCTTTTCATTCCTTAAAAACAATAGTCTTGGGGCTGGAGAGATGGCTCAGTGGATAAGAGCACTGTCTGCTTTTTCAGAGGATCTGGGTTCAATTCCCAGTATGCACATGGCAGCTCACAACTCCAGTTCACACAGACATACATACAGGCAAAAATGCCAATGCTTGTAAAATAAAAAAAAAATACATTATTGAACAAAACAAAAACCAAAAAACAACAGTCTTGCAGAGCAGTGGTGGCGCATGCCTTTAAACTCGGCATTTGGTGTTATTTATTAAGCTGCGCTGTTTGTATGAGAGAAGCCACGAGGCACAACAAAACCCATATAAGAGTTTATTAAGGGAAGGGAATGGAATAGAAAGGGTATGCACAGGCCTATGGAATGATCTAAGGAAGAGAGAGAAGTAATAGGTGGAACCCACTTTTATAAGATCCCCCTGGCACATGCACATACGGGCTTACGATGGATTACATAGGACATAAGGCCCTAGGATGACTAAGCACCTTGCCTGGCTACTGGACAGCACATGAGAGGTCATGTAGCTGGGGGAGTGGCTAGGAATTCTAATTCTTGGGAGGCAGAGGAAGGACTCTATGAGTTCAAGGCCAGCCTGGTCTACAGAGCTAGTTCCAGGACAGCCAAAGTTATACAAAGAAACCATGTCTTGAAAAATCAAAATCCAAACAAAATTTAAGCATTTACCTAATTATTCTTTATCAATAAAAACTCAGGAGTCAGATATCGGGGGTAAGAACCTGAAAGATCAGAGAAGCAGGGGAGCAGCCACCAGTGACTTTCGTTCCTTCCTCCAAAAGGGCAGGCTGAGATCCTCTCTTAGCCTCGTCTTAGTATTTCCTGTCTCTGATCTGTCCACAGTCCTCCAAACCTCTATGGTTAATTTTGGTCAGCTAGTGTCTAGCTTTGCCCTCTGACTCAAAGCAAGCTTTATTTTCAGAATGAAATCAAAATATTACACAACACAAAATAACAGTCTTCTATGTAAAACCAGTAGGATCATAGCACAACCACTAAATCAAGGGAATACCACATTTACTTGCCCTAAATTATAGCCATTTTAGTTTTATGCCATACTTGGTATTATAGTGAATTTTTGGTTCTGGTCATATTAGAACCTCCATGTCTTACTAAATTCCATGAGGAGGCTTTGGAGCTTTGCCGTCCAGCACACAGGGGCCCTAACTGTATACAGACACTGAACACTTGCAAAGAGGCACTACTCTGCCACTGCCTGCAACAGGGCAGCTGTGGTGGGTCACTGAGATGACCCCACTGTGAAGGTTTATGTGGTAAATGGTGTGAGGGGCCCAGGCAGCCTTGAGGCTCCTTTCCCGTACTGAGGTGACAGGAATTTGCCCTGGGGACACAGCTTGTAAATGAGGTCTGTCCTGGCAAGAGCTCCCTACTCTTGCCCCATCTCTGCTCACTGCCTGACTTGAGTCTGCGTCTTCAACCGGTCTGTTTTACTGTTCCCTTCAGGTCTCCGGCCTGGCCCTGCAAAACCTGTCCTTTAGGGGTTTTGTTTAGGAGCAAGCCACAGCTCTCAGCCACATAAGCTCCTTGAATAACAGGAGGAAAACAAAAAGAGAAAAGAGGTTGACCTAGCCTTGCTGTTGGAAACCTAGTTATTTAAACATGGATTTGATGCTTGCCCTAGGCCTGCACCTGTCTTGTATTAGTTAATTCCAACATGGAAACGTCTCCAGGGTTCCCATGGTAATCGCTATTTTTACCTGTAGTATTTAGGACTATTGTTCTCTGTCCCCTTTTCAAAATCCTTTTTTATTTTTTCCTTTCCTAGAGAATAGAATAATGAATTTATCAATGTAAAAGTCTCATTACTAAGAAATGATCATTGTCAGTGTTGATTGCCACCTCTAGGACATAAATATCAGTAGTAAAATCTTACCTGATGGAGCATGCAGTGCAAGAAGGCAAAACAGCCGAGGAAGCAAAGGACAACTGAAACCTGTGGGAAGTTCTGTGAAGGCTCTGCAGAAAGCTGCATTTGTTCCAGATGGGATCTGGGGCAGCATTCGGGCAAGAGAGGTTTCCTAGAGGAGTAGGTATTTTATTCTTTGGCAAAAAGGGGGTGGAAATAATGATTCAGAGGGGTGTGCTAGGGCAGGGAAAAAAAATCCCTTCCCCTATAAGGTATTTCTTCTTCCATCCCAGACTCTTGCTCTGGGATGCTCTGCTTTCCTTACACCTCTCATTAGTGAGGATATATTGGTGATAAATTTTAGCAACATTAATATTTTTTGAAAAAGTTTGTTTATCTAATTCAGAAATGTGGCTTTGTAGGCTGACAGTTATTCCTGCCACCACTCTGAGGACAACCCTCAGGTCTAACATTGTTCCTTTATGGTGAGTCTGTGTCTTCTTTAAAGATTCCTTACAGGCATGCCCAGCTGTGGTGAGGGCTGTACCCCAGGATATCTGTGAGTGTGGCCCAACATAAAACCATAAGTTTTCTTAAAATATTGTGAGAGTTGTTGGTTTTGAAAAATAATTTTTTTGTTCAGTTCTACTGACTTTCCAATTCTTTTATAAACATTTTAATTTCTATTCATTTCTAGAAGTTTTTTTTCAACTCTTATAAAACAACTGTTTACTTGTGGGTTTTTTTGCCTTTTACTCATTTCTTGCTTTATTGGATCTATGGTTTGATTCATGGAATTTTCTTCTGCTCGTGGGTTGGGTTTTCTTTCAGTACACATTCTTTCAATATCTTTGGTATGCATTGTTTTTTTCTTTCTTTCTGTTCAGAGTCATATGTTTTCACAATGTTCCCATTGATTTGACCATAGTGAATGTTCGACTATATTCTGTGACAAGTTGCCTGTTTTAATTGAATATCTGTGTAGATCACTCCTCTAGTAACTAGGTAAAACACAAAATGGACTGGGTATGGCAATGTACTCCTGTAACCCCAGTGCTTAGGAGGCTGAGCATAACAATCACAGGTTTAAAGCTGACTTTCTCTACACAGTGAGACCTTATTTAAAAATGCAAAATAAACAGAAAATCTTTTATTGTTTTCAGGCCCTGGAGAGTATACAGTCTGCCTGGAGCCCACAGCCAGAGAGGTTGGATAGTGCAAACAGAGAGAGGGAGAGAGAATGAGAGAGATCACGTGTGAGAGATAATGAGGAGAGGGCAGGCAGACTTCTGGGCTACACTTTTCCTGGGCCCAGGGCATTATCCAAACAGGTTTCCCATGGAAAGTTTAATTGGTGTGTTTAAAGCAGGCAGGCACGAATTTTCAGAGGTCACAGTTACTAAAACCAAGTCCCTGTGGTGTATCTGCATAATCCACTTGGATTGCAAGAGCCATTGGAGCCAAACAGGCTACATACACTGAG